CCCATGGATATTGGCTATACTAAGCTCAGGTTTTCAGAGGTGACAATATATATAGACTCTATATACATTGCTCACAAGTTGACAAAATATGCCCAATATTCAGTTCCCAAATAATCATTCCCCCAGGGGACCACAGGCAAGCACATTCTTTAGTGAAGTAAACTCTTCACAGGAACTTTGAGTCACAGTTCAACAGGTAAGCCAGGTTTTCATTTCATCGCAATAAAAGTCATGGAATCAAGAGCCAGGAAGGAATGTCTTGCCTTTCGTCTCCAACTGGGCCGACTCTCACAGAACAGACTGGCATGTACTCCAACTACCCCAAAAACTGGGCTCCCCTGAGCAAAAGTACCAGCTATACCAAGACTCTTCCTCAAGTCCTGTACAAGAAAATGTGGTTTGCCACCAAGAAAAGAAAAATGCCACCTACCACAGCAAAGCCAAGACTCCCTGTAGGTGTCACAGGTCACCAGGAGCCCCTCCCTTGAGAGCCAACCTGCCACCCTTTGCCCCCTGCCAGTCTCACCTCCAAATCCTTCTCCAGCTCCAACCCAGCCTCCATCAAGTTGTGCTCAAACTCCTCCCTCTGCTCCTTCCTTTCCTCCTCCAGAGCATCCAGCGGGCCCAGCTCGATGTCACCGGGGCCCCCAGCCTTGCCTGTCTCCCCATTGGAGACGACAGCCACGGCGTGGCCAGGAGAGCCGTGGCCGGGGTGTGCCCCGCGTTTCCTGTAGTGGTAGGCCAGCACATAGTCAACCTTCCTCTGGTTGTCATAGAAGTGCATGCGGCTCTGGCGGGCCTCCGACATGGGCTCATTGACATCCAGGTAGTTGTTGATAACCTGGCCGAAGGAAACAGGACAGGGACGCAAGATCCAGTGAGGAAGGGGAGGCTGGGCTTGTGCTGCGTGCAAGGCCGGTGGACTAGGAGGGCCCTGAGCACCCCAGTGAGCAGACAGAGTGGCCAGGCTCATCTGCCACACACAGCTGTCAGCCACCCATCCAGTACCGGGGTCTCAGGGCCTCCACCCCAGCATCCACACACACACAGTACACACAAACTGCACACACCACAGCAGCCCACACGTGCACACCACCTGCCTGCAGGCATGCCCCCTCTGCACACACAGTCACTTCCCCTCAGCCCTCTGTGCCTTCGCCTGCACGCACACCTGTGCACATCACCCTACTGCACCGATCCCCACACACAGCCCTCCGCACGCCCATCCCCACACCCGCACCGCCTGCAGATTCGCAGCTGCCTACACCCCAGCCACACGTCACACGTGGAGGACACTCACCGGCAGGCGCTCTGGATCCATGGGAGCAAAGGCCAAGTGCTCGTCGCCTGGCCAGCCCTGCCTCTCACCCCGCAGGATTCACTATACACTGTGGCCCCCACAGACCCACATCCTCCTCGTCTCCAGTCACTGGCGAGGCCCCTGCCAGAGACACGGGGTGCTGATGCTCTCCCAGCCTCTCCCGGAGATGGGAGCTTGGAGGAGAGGAGGAGAAAGAATGAGGCAGGCGGGGCAGGCGAGGGCTGCCTCCCTCCCTCTGGGTGTTTCCCTGTTTATTACCGTTTGATACCCAGCTGCCTCAGCAGCCACCTGAGAGGTCACCTGGGCAACCAGATGAAGCGCCAGGCACAGGGGAGAGCCTCGGAGCCACGCAGCAGAGGCCTGGCTGCTCGGGGCCGTGGAGGGGAGCCAAGAGTGTGCAGAGTGACATGTGGGGTCACTGGCCTCTCGTCCAGCCCGTCCTCCTCTGCACAGTGTTGCTGGGACACTGAGCCATCATGGAGAGGGCAGGGCCTTAAGAAGAGCCTGGGATCACCCAAACCTGCCCCCAGGTGGACAGCCCTGGTCATGAGGCTCCCAAGAGGCCAGTCCCCCAGCCGTAGCACTCACAGAGTTGTGGTGGGAACCGGCTCCCCGGGACGGCTGGCCGGAGTCTCGCTGGGAACTACCCTGAAGACCTGGGGCTCGGGGTCGAGGCACCTTGAGGTAGTGTTGTCCAGGTGTGGGGGCCCGGCCCCCTGTGGCTGCTGCCCCCGGACTCAGCCAGCGTGGGGAGCCAGGGAGCAGAGGCATGTCTGGAAAGACAGGAAGGAAAGCAGCTTCAGGGGGTGTGAATTGGTGACACAGAAAAATGGAGGCGCTAAGGGAGGGGGCTGGAGCTGCCCTAAGAGAATGGCCATGTGTCCTGTAGCTGCCTCCCCAGTCAGTCCTGGTGGACTTAGTCAGCCAGGGTCGTGTGTCACAGGGGTGGAGAGAATATTGGTGGGGTTGGCGCGGGGTCGGGGAGGGGAGGTAGGGACAGAGGAGAGTGTCTTACCCAACCACACACACGAGCACACTCGCACACACATTCAGGGCTGGAGCCACCAGCAGGAGCTCCTTCGTTGGCAGCCATCATAATCCCATCTAATCCCCAGGCAGGAAGAGGGGAGTGGCCTTAGGAGCGCCAGGATGGGTGGGACACAAGCTGGAGACACCGTGAATTCATGCCAAAGGCTTAGGCTTTAGGACTTCTCCCCAGGCAGCCACGCCAGCCAGCCCCTGGTCAGCCCGCACACTCCCAAGGAGGTAGAAGAGACCAGCCTGGGCCTGCTGGAGGCAGGGCACCCCCTGAGGAAAGGACCATCCCATCCTCCAGTGCCCCACCTACAGGCTGCCCCCAGAACCTGAGGGCACCTGCCAAGACAGCGCTTAGCAGCGTGCGGCGGGGGTGTGGTGCTATTCAGACACTCCCAGCATCCCTGAAGGGAAAGACCCTCCCTTCAGGGGCAGGTCAACAGGGGCGTCTCCAGCTCGGGACAACAGGGAAGGGCCACACTCTCAGGCTCCAGTTTCACGCTTGCCCACCAACTGGCCCAGGGCAGAAGTGAGCACAGGATGCTACACCCTGGAGAAGACCTGGCCACCTCCCATGCAAGCCAAAAGCCCAGGGCCGGGCTCTCCCTGGTGGCAAAGTTGGTTAAAGCACAGCACTAAGAAGCTAAAGCCACTTCAGCATGAGTTTGATCCCCGCCTGCCCCGGAGGTGACCACATGGCGCAGCAGACCTCTCCTGGCCCGCCTGTTGCTCCCCTCAGCAGTGGACTTCATCAGTCTGTCTGTTCTGCTCCCCACTGTGTCTCTGGGGAATCCTCTCACCTCCTGCACCTCTGGCCTGTACCCCAGTTCTGTAAACATAAATAAATAAACCTTAAAAAAAAAAAAGTAGGCAGAGCTGGTTTTCACAGCCTCCCACGCCTGCCTGCCTTTCACCTTCTCCCCTGAGCCCCAGCAAGGTGCCTGCCCGCTTTGACCCCACAAACTAGGCCTGCACACTCTCCTGCCCTCCACCAGGCCTTCCAGCACCCCTTCCTTCCCTTCACCATTGGCAAATTTACTGCAAAGTGCCAATAGCCCAAGTAGCACCCTGTGCTCAGCTAATTGAAGACAGAAAACTGTACAGGGCTCTCCGGAGGGCACCAGCCTGCTTAAGCCAGCGTGCCAGGCATGGCCTCGGCTGCAGGAGGACGCTCCAGCCAGCAGGGGGCACTGGGCACCCGCAGGGGTCGGAGAGGGCTTTCTGGGCCCTCAAATCTTGCCGTTCTCAGGGACAGGGGTCCTTGTGATTCAGAAGAAGGAAAGTGAAGATGCAGAGAGCCAGTGCGAGTGAGAAAAAACAGGGTGATTGTGAGAAAACCCCAAGCAAAGGGACCAGGAGACACGCTTGAGGGCAAGGTGGAGACAGGTGAGCAGGGAAGAGCAAGAAGTGGGTTCACCAGGAGGAGAGGAGAGTGAGGTGAGTCATCTAGGCCCACGGAGGTTTCCAGAGCCCCTGAGAGGCACCAAGGAGGAGAAGCTTCCCGGAGGGAGCTGGACGACAGGCGGCTGGGTTTTTCCTCGTGGCTTCCCTCCCGGCATCATTACCCTTTCATTACTAACCAGGGCAGGTGCCAAGTGCTTGGGAAGAGGGCAGCCTCTGTCACCAGCCTGTGTGAGGCCACTGCACCCCTAAGTCAGGCTGAGGAGCAGAGCTGCCCTCCCCCCAGGCTGAGAGCAAGCTCCAGGTCGGGAGGTCGTCCGGGGAGCCCCGGAGAGAGCTGGGCACTTTATTAGACATGGGAGGTGCTCACCCTGGGCTCTCCCCAAGCATCAGGGTGGGTGGATTCCGTTTGGGTGAGGGTCATTCTTATTCTGAGGTCTCACCCTGCCTTCTGGTATGAATTTGACCCAGGACAAAAGTCAGAATTTGAGATTCTAAGTTGGAGATGTGGACTCGATGGTCTCCTGCTGACCACCCACCCCTTTCCCCTGGGTCCTGCTAGTTTGCACCTTTCAAGGCCTCTGCTTGTGGCCAAGGTAACAGAAGCTGACGCTCTAGTATCCCTCTCCTCTGCCCACTCCCCCCACCACCCCCTTACACAACAGACCATTCGCAAATGTACCTCTTCAGTCTGCTTGGCTTACTGCCTTGGCTCAAAACACCCTCTCCCCACCCCTTTGTGCTCAAACACCCCTTTCCTGATGAGGCCTCAGTTTACATCCTGACCTGTGCCTGGATACCAGCTAGCTGGGGAAATGCACATTTAACATAAAGTATATGCTATAGTCAACATATTTCACATACAGGTTTCCCCCACTGTTCAAAAGCACAGCATTCCTAGGAAGTCTTCCATAAGCCAAATTTCATAAAGCAAAGAAACAGTTACCACTAATTTATATGTGGGGGGGGATGGGATTAACATTCCCAGACCCCAAACCTGCCAACTAAATCCTACCATATAACACATAGACTCTAATATATAATAAACTGATGTGATAAATACCTAATATACAGAAAGCCCTTCCCAGGCGGAGAAGTTTGGGGGGGGGGGGCACTCTCAGTCGTCAGAGTTCACACTGCTGCAAAACCAAAGCTGACCTCTGTTTTTGGTGTTTGTCTTTTATTTTCAAAGCAAAAATGCTCTTCTGATTTCTTTCCATTAGGGAAAACAGGTGATGTATAGGCCTTTCATGAAAACAAAATATTTAAAGCGTAGGATACAAGTTTAATCCCTCACCCTCATTCCCGGACCACTTTAACATTGGATTATATATTAGGAACTTAAGGTTAAACAGAGCACAGTCCTTGCCACAACACCTAGGAGCTCCTGAGGAAGGAAGCAGAGTAACAAGGAGATAATTTCTGGAATATTCCCCAGTCTTTCCTTCAGGTAAGAACTACCCCCTCTTTCATGAAGCCTGTCCCCACATTGATTCTCACTCTGCCTTGCCCATGCCTCTGCTTGGAATGTTCTCTGTATGTATTCTTTTTTAAAAAAAAGATTTATTTATTTATTCGTACAGAACTGGGGTACAGGTCAGAGATGCAGAGGGTGAGAGGATTCACCAGAGACAGAGTGGGGTCCAGAACAGGCAGATCGATGAAGTACACTGCTGAGGGGAGCAGCGGACTGGTCAGGAGAGGTCTGCCACGCCATGTGGGTCACCTCCGGGGCAGGCGGGAATCGAACTCATGCGGAAGTGGTTTAAGTTTCTTTGTGCTGTGCCTTAACCCGCTTTGCCACCAGGGAGGACCCTCTGTGTGTATTCTTTTCTCATCCTTATTCTTCATGGATAGAGCCTTCATGTCTAGAAACCCAGCAAAAGTCCTGCTTCTCTTCTTACTTAGAGATGTATCAAGAAGTTCAAAACATGTGCCTTTCATCTCTTTGTACCACAGGACTCTGGGTGCAATAATATTGGGAGGTAGCAGTGGAAGGACTATGGAGCCTGTTCTTGTGAGTGAATTTGAAACAGTGGACTCCTCTCTGAATGGAACACTGACATGTGCCAGGCACCGTTGGAAGCATTTGACATGTACCAGCCCTTTAGCCTTCATGATAACCCAATGAGGTAGGTACCATTGCTGTCCCTGGTCTATCAATGAGGAAACTGAGGTACAGAGAGGTCAAGGTTATGAGTTAATAAGTGGCGTCCAAACCATGCACACTTTTAACCCACAGGCTCTACTGTGCCAAAGGAAGGGTGATGACCAGGACAGTCTAAAAAGTCCCCTCCTAACTGGACATCACTAATATCCTCCACCCACTAAAGGAGCCAATGCCCAGACACCAAGGTCCTATATTTGAAGAGTAAGGATAGGAAAAGAATAAGAAATTCATTTCAGTAGTGTTTCCATCCATGGCAATATCCTCAGGTTGGGCTTTGAATGAGTTGTCCAAGTGGAATCTACCCACCAGCAGGCCACGCTACACTGTGGTTTAGTGTGGCTGATGAGATTAAGGTATACATGTCCCACCCTCCGTGTCATGAGAAACAGCCAGTCTACAATGTACTTGGTCTAAACTATTCTATTAGCTAGTCAACTATAACCTGTTTTGCAAGTACATGAACATGAAAGGGCATGATCAAGCAATTCTGGGCAAAATAAAACCCTTCCCACCGTTGCTGTATACACTCACATACACATACACACACATGCATGCACACACACACATGCATACACACACACACATGCATATTAACAAGGCTGAATTGTCTCCCTTCTGGATATATTTGGTGGGTTCCTTCAATGTCCCTCTTCCTCCCCCACTAACCACAAACATTACCCATCTCTTTTCATCCTGGGTGTAACCAAGACTGATGACGTCTTAATCATTCCCATCGTTACAGACGGTGAACAGGTTTCTGTTGCCCCAAACGGACTGGATCTGGGTTAAAGCCTAATACAGCTCTTTCAATCATCCCCTCAGGATGCTTAGGCCTTTGGATTCGTAGAAGATGCTGGAGGTTATAGCAGTACTCAACTCATGCAAGGAATATAGGTTAACCATAGGCTGTAACTGTGTGGAGGATAGTTAATAAAATTTTTAAATTCCAAGTATAGTTACAGGAAGGAAATTACTCAGAAAGTTCTCTAAGTTACAGCTTTATTAACTGATGTGAATGAATCACATCAAAATCACATCTAGAATTGCTGGATTATACTCTCCCTGAGGACAGGAAAACTGCCTATCTCATTGATCACAGTACCCTGACACAAGATTGCCCTTGAGAGCAGGTCAATGCTTTCCCACAGCTTGGAAAAGGGGGAGT